TCGAGCTTCTAGTGGAGATAAGTGTGTGTGCCGAGTTTCATTTCCTCGGCACTTCCTTGCACAGGAGGAGGACCATGTAATACTTTCCCTTTTTTAATATGCTCATTCAATTTACTTGCGCCAGTTTTGCCATCTCCCGGCTCCCAACTTCCAACTTCCAACTTCTCGATTGCTCCTCGATTATTGATGACATGACAAACAAGGTACGATTTCCGCCCGGCTACCAAGGAGAAGTTCGAGAATCATTTTTCTTTTGGCTCGATTGTATTTGTATGCGCATTAACTTCATTTTGCAATCATGCGCGCCATAAATCCAATTTAATTGTGCTTCTTCCACACACACAGGCACACACAAACACACACACAGGGAAAGCGCACAGATACAAATGCGAAAACACACGCATGAGCTGCTTGAGTGCACGGCGGCGTATACTTAATTTTTGCTCGTTCGTGCGCTCAATTCCGCTTCCTCGCAACTTCTAACTCAATGCTAAATAGAAGCACATAAATTTCCGGCACCATCCCACCAGCGATATCCGGTTTGATTTCTTCGGATTGCATTTTGAAAAATAGATTTTTTATACTGTTGCTTTTCCGGCTCTCGACCAATACCTTTTGTCTACCTTGGCCGCCTTTTTGGTATCTATGTATCCCTCTTTGATTTACTACGCACAATTTCGTGTACCTTTCGCAGGAGTCGCTGGCAGGACTCGCCGGTCCAGTTCGAGTGGCTCGTTGTGATTTATGTTTGATTGAAATGCTCTAAATTGTATGCTAATCTGGACTTTGACACAAAGCTCATTTGTTGTTCCTCCCGCTACCTCTGTTCTTGCTCTTGATGTTGCTGCTTCCGTTGCTGTTGCTATTGTTGCAGCAATCGCATTTAAATGTTGTGCCTGGCATTTGGCAGTTTGCTTAAGCGTTTGCTAATTTGAAAACCATTTTGGACTCGGGCTGCCATCAAGGGGTTTCTATCTGCCTCAAATGATTATTTGTATCATTTGTCAGGCTTTTAGATTTTGGGTTGCCTTGGATGTGGGTGGGGCGTAAAATATCTACGAATCTGTTGTGGCCAATTGAACTGTTAATTGCTCTGAAATATTTTGCAGAACTCTAAATGTTTTCACAAAATTTCGGTAATAAAGAGTTGATTAGCAAATGGAATGGAGTACGATTAAGATTGGCTATCAATTAGTTCATAAATATTGGAAGAATTCAATGAGTTGGAAAGTAAGGAAGATATTTTTCATATTTTATTTCAGTAACTTGAATAAATAATAGATTTTCATATTGATTTCTTTTCTTTATATTAAAAGTTACAAATTATAAAGCTATTATCTCTTCATATTTTTAAATGGAATAGCTTGTAAACCTCAAAACTTTTAATTTCTCTTTAAAAAAATATGATTATACATGGATATCTTTACAATTTTCATATAAATCACCTCATCTCAATTCATAAATTAAACTTGACTGAAATCAGAATGAAACTACCCCTTAAAAGTGCTTGAAAGCCCAACAAAGTTCAATTTCAATTCCAATTCCATTGCCATTGGTTACTTAAGCCCATGACAATCACGTTCCATTCGTCGCAAGTTAATTTGATGGCAGACATTAAGTGCAGCTGCTTGGGCGCGTTACTTCACTATCTCTGGGCAATAAATTCCCACAGAGTCCCCCAATCCCACCCCCTTTTCCGCCAATTTCCTGTCACATGCCCTGCTAAGTATACTATATAATTTTTCCCCCAGTTTTTTTTCATAAATCCCACAACTGTCAACTGGGGGAGGGGGAAGACCGGAAACGGCTAAATTCAGCTATAAATTGACGTGAGTGAGTCAGAGAGTGGAGCATGCTTCATTAATGCGACAACCGTGGGACTCTAGCCCCCACTGACCCTTAACCCCAAACCCTTGCATCCCTACAAACCCCTTAGCCACTATACAACCCACATACAAACAGGACAGCACAATTGGCTGCACTTGTGTGTCCACTTAGTTGGGCGAGCAAAACCCACAATATCCACATGGTAGAGTGGTTGCACTCATGCCTCACCCTTAACCCTTTGAGCCCTCTCTCCACCAACTCCTCCCCATCGGCCACTCCGCAGTGGCTGGTCATGTCCGTGTGGTTAAGTGAGCTTCGTGCAACTGGCAGTTCGGTTTTATTTCCCTTTTTTTGAGTTATGCGCGGCATTTCCGGTCTTGCCATTTCATACTAATCAACATCCGTTGAGCGGAATTTTGGGGGGCAAGCATTTTTGAGTGCATTATTACGGCGGCAGCATCGATATTTTCGGGGATAATATTTGCAGTGCGCCCCGTTATACGCATTTGTTGCAGCATTTGCATTGTAATTGCAACAGTGCGTATAAGTGATGTGCATATAAATTACATTTGCTTCGCTGCGGGTTGTCCGGTCAAGCAAAAACTTCCAGCTATGGAAATTGAAAATTTATTGCATACGACCACGTGGCCAATGCCCGGTTGGGGGTCGGTCTTCGTTCCGTTCGGTGCGGCTTTCATTACAAATTACGCATACGCACCGTTGTTAATTTCATATTCATAAATGATGACCACACTCCTTGGGGAAATTGCACGAAGCACTTCAGCTTTTGCGGTCCCTTCTCCACGGGTCCCACCCGTGCCTGGGTATTTTTGTTAACAACAACAACAAAAAATGGTTAAATTATGCCTCAGTTGAGGCCTTTGGTCGACTTTGATCTCCGTCGTCCAGAAGCGAAATCTCGTGGCAAATCTCCGAAAGGCTCTACTCTAACTAGCCAAAAGCCAGGCAGCATAATCCGGTACATTTGATGCTGAATGCTCTCTTAGGTCCAGTCCATTTGGCCACTTGACTTTGCCCCAAAAGGGGCTGCCCATCAAATCCCCAGAAAGTCCGAGCCATAAACATAAAAACCAAAAGGGCCCAGTCCTTCGCCTTCTACTGCTGCTGGTACGCTCTGCCATCGAGTGTACTTTGTTGAATTAAACCTCTAATTAGTGAAAGCTGTTTTTAGCTGGGATTAAAGGTTCCCAGGGACATCTTGAATGACTAATGAATATATCTCTTTGCATTTTTGAAAGATATACATAGGTCTAAGAAGGAGCTCAGAAAAGCCAAAGAACCCAGCATGATTAAAAATGTTTCTGTTGGGAGTCTAGGTACAAGGGATTCCAAACTCAAGGGGATGAAAATAATAAGCGGATGGTTTTGGATCTAGAAAATTAATAAAGGTGTTATAACAAAGCTTAAGTGGAGTCCTAAAGCTCTCAAACTTTTGAGAAATTTTAAGAAGGGGAAGGAAACTTAAAGTTTGTGCAACATTATGATATTTTCATGGTTAATAAATTGATTTAAAAAGCTAATTTAATTGCAAATTTATATCGATATCTATTTAATAAATTATTGAAATATTTGAGGGATAAATTGAAAGAAAATTTTGGATTTTGAAATGGATAAACCATGCTAAACTTTAAAAAAAAACTATACAGAAGTGCTGAGAATTAAGTAGGACTTTACCAGAAGAAATATATCAATATATTGTTACGCCCTATATAAATATTACTAGACGAAAGTCCGATCATCCTTTGATTTTGGTCCTTCGAGCCAGAAAAAAGACTTACAGTCCTTCATTGACACTGCAACCATATCTTCTATTTGACTACAAATATTAATGACTTCTGTTATATTTACACAAACATAAAGAGTACCCGAACCTCGATATATATCAGAGATTTATTCAAATACAAACTTTAAATTTAATTTTCTGAGCAGACGAAGGCAAAGTTGATTTCATTATTTCAATTATTAAATAGAGTTTCAAGAAAATACCTTAATGTACTTATCAGATATTTATATACTTTAGTCTCCTTTATTATCTTCTCAACATCAACTATGTATATTTAAGAGAACTTAAACCCTTCCTGATTTTATTACTTCTACAAAGATATTTTAAACTCAAAGTTTCTGTGCAGAACAAAATAGCAAATACAAATTTGATTAAATCCATTTCCGGATGAATTCACCTCTCAAGTACGAAATGCTTGAATATCCTTATTCACTGCAGACTTATTGCTTAATCGCAGCTAGGACTTGCAGTCACCAACTTGAGTTTTTATTGCGCCACCCGCCGTCATTCCTTTCCAAAGAATTGCACCGTTTTAGTGCCGACTCACCAATAAAACTGCATTGTGTCTGTGGAAGAAAGGCAAACAAATTAGTTCTGCCCAGACACACACACACACTCAGAGAAAGAGAGGAATAGGAACAGGAAAAGGACCTCCCAAACACACAATGAAGCCTCTCGGGAGTGGGTTTGGCATCAAAATATTAGACGCGTCAATAGCTTTGCACATTTTGCGCTTTTGCATTTCGAAGGCAATCGAGGCGACAAGTTGAACGACATCGAAATGTGGAAAATGGGGAACCCCCCTCCACACACACACTCATGCTTCCCCAGTTACATTGCCAATTCAATGGAACAAAAAGTGCAACCAGCTTCGATGACGTACACACATACTCTTTCACTCACTCTATGAATGTGGATGACGGCGGCGATGTCGCCTGCGGATGAAATGGGAATGTGTGTTTAATGGTTGACATTGTTGTTTACAAATTGACTTTTTGTTGCTGCCGCTTCTGCTCGTCAATAAACATTTGCCTGATAATATGCCAACATATGCATAACGTACATAAGTAGCTTACATCCTCCAACCTTCCAACTTACAGAGAGGAAAAATATCGAAATATCGATTTTTGGGTGTTATGAAAAACATAATTAAATGTTTCTGGTTTGTTTAAAATATTCATAAATTAAACAAATTTACCAAATTTAAATAGTATTTTTGAGAAACTATTTAAAAACCATATCTTAAAATCTACATTAAAAACATATGGTAATTCTCTTGGCTGTGACTCTTCCTCTAAAAATTTAAAGTTAACACTACAACTCTTTAAAAATTCTTATTCAAAAACATAATGATTTTCTCTTCGTGCAGCAGAACTTCAGCAATATCAACAGCAGCAGTCGAGCAAACATCAGGCCAACGGAGCTGTCCTCACTGGAATGCAATCGCACCACATACGCGGACCACGACCTCCGCTTCGTACCGCCTCCTCCACAACCACCAACAGTAGCAGCACCAACTCGGCAATGGGCGTGGCCGTGGGCGGTGGTGGTGGCAATATTCTACTCGATCAAACGCCTTCCGGTGGCAGCAGCAGCAGCGGCGTGAGCAGTGCTCCAAGCTCCTCAAAGGGGCATCACACCCACTCCCATTCGCATGCCGCCCACCTGGTGCATACGCATGGCGAGGGCATGGTCCTGACCTCCGCCTCTCCCGTCAGTGTCCAGCAGCATCAGCAGCAACATGCACAGCAGCAGCAGCAACAGCAGCAGGTGCCGCAGGCAGCAATGGACGAGATGCGCGTCTGATAGGTATCGGTCTTTGAGTTGGACTTATAGTCATCAACGGGGTGAGTTTTTTTTTATACAATTAATTTAAAGAATTATAATATTTCTGAGAAAAAATATGAGAAAGCTTTAAAGATTTTGTAGTAGTTTTACAGATTTATTATCAGTAGTAATTCTGATTCTGATTCTGAGAGTTCTTTGGTTATCTAATAACAAATTAAACCTATATTATTATACTATTATTGCACATTAAATTACATTTCATATTGATAATTCAATTTAAGTATTAAATGTATAAGTAAAATCATTAAGTTTTTGATTGAATTCTTTATAATATTTATAATATTCTCTTAAAATTTCATATAAAAATAAAACAATGTTGTTTTATTTATTTTATAGGAATGCAGATTGTGTTTCAAACAGAAAAATGTGAATTTCTTGAAAGATTTATAAATTATTCAACTCAACTCATTTGTATCCAAGTCCAGCTTTATATCATTTTCTTACTAACCTGCCTTTATCCCTAACTTATGGCGCCTGATAATCCTTGATATCCTTTTATTCTAAAGGCAACGGTCTCTAGGGATTCAGAGTGAACTCATTGTGATTTTTCCCAATTTTTTTTTCGCATATTCATACCTATAATATTTATTATTCATTTCGCGTCTTACTCCATTCTTTGGTGCAATATTTGTGACGTGGGGTATAAAAAGGATACAACGAACTTGGGTCATTGGTCAAGCCGTTTCACGCCGATTTATTTATGGGCTACAAGCACAGATATTTGTTTTCTAAAAATAAAAAACTAAAAACTCAAATTTCTGCGCAATTACAAATATAGTCAGAAACCCCCTTTAAAATATAGTTCCCAGCAGCACTGCTACCTACAAAAATGACAATCATGTCTGAACCCTTCACAGGACAAAAGAAGAAAAACCAAAGGTCGTGACGGTACATTCCAACACAAAAAAAAAGGTAGAATAAAATATCTGCGCACACAGACTCTGATCAAAAATAACAAACGGCATGTCAAACATGCGGCAACAAAAAATGCTGCCTCTTTATTTGATAAAATAAAAAAATAATAACAAAAACAAATAAAAATAAATATGCACGAAGCATATAACCGAGTTCATGGTTCAAGGTGGACTCAAATGTCGCAGCCACCGGGATGGAAAAATGCCAAAGAGCGGGCGTCCGAATACCGAAAAAAGGGAGAGCTTTAATGGAGAGTTTTCCGCAGGACAAAAGGGCAGCAAGAAAACGACGAATAAAATATAGGTATTAATACCAAGGCAAAGGGAATGAAATTGTAAACGAAATGAAAACTGGAGCCACTAGACCCGGCCATAACAAGTGGCAAGGTGCAAGGCAATTTGTGGCATGCAACTTGAAACCGAGCCCTCAACTAATTTATGAGCCCAGTGTCGGGGACTCTAGAAATTCGAGCTAAACCAAATTAAAACTGCAATGTGGCCAACAACAAAAAAATTGGGTAATTGCATTAACTGAAACCCAGCTGTGACGCACACTAACGCGGCTGTCAACTCAAAGGAAAAACTGAGAAACAGAATTCAAAAGTTGAAGTGAAGCAAAAAGTTAAGGCTAAAAAACAGTTGCGGAAAATCGTATAACTTCACTGAGAGTAAGAGTTTTGTAGTGCAACAAACGAAATTTAATAAAAAGTTAAAATCATTATATTTGACGAGAGAGAATTGAGAAGAGGTGTTCAAAATTCCGGGAAAAATTTCTTGTACCTTCCTATATCTATAAAAAAAGAGGCATCAATATAAATATATACAATTATACATTAATAATTGGTGTTTCTTAGAATATATTGTTTTTTCACTCCAAGAAATTCTTATTAATTATTTTATCCCGGTAAAAAAAATTTATTCAATATGAATGAAATTATTTAAAATTTTCTGAATTCCCGTATAGATTAAACAAATATTTAAAATATAATTTAGGCTTTGTATTTATTGCTTCCACATAATAAGCTTCCTAATTTTTATTCATCTTAAAAACGACATTATTTTGTATTACTACCCCTTTTAAAATACTTAATATTTTCATATACATATATTTTTTAAATTGTAATCCTCTTCAATAAGAGCCTGCGTTAAAAAGATCCTGCCACTTAAGGATTTTTTATCATGTACTTTTCCTGCCCACTTGCAGGCACTTGTATCAGTGCTGCCAAGTTATAACCTCCCATAAAAAGCTAGATTCTGAGCAGAGATAAATTAAAATAAAATAAATATAAAAAATAAATGCTGAAAAACAAGACAAACCCAAATACGAAAATGTATAAAAATATAATTTTTTTTTTTTGCACTTACCCTCTATTTTTCTACATCTTTGCTTTTATCATTGGTCATTTCATGGCTATTTTGTTTTTGCTTCTTGCTTTTGCCACTAACACAACACTTTGAGTGAATATAGCATAGAAAAACGATAATCGAAAATTAAGAAATACGCTGAACTAAAGGCAAACATTTATCCATACATACATACATACATTTTTCCTTTACATTTTTGATAACACAAAACAAAAACAAAAAAATATTAAACACACACATATGGGAATATTTTTTTTTCAATAAATACAAATTATTTAGGACTTTTCAGTAAGAGCACTCAACAAAAAAAAAAAAAACAAAAAAAGAGAATACAGAAACACTGCAATTCAGAACTTGCTTTACATCACTTGTCCACCTTTCCACGGCCATTTGATATAAGAACATATATATACATATGTACATTTGTACATACATATGTATATCTTCTAAGGGAACGCCGCTGACAACTGGAATAGGTGATCACCGCTAAGCTTTTGTTTTTGCTTCTTGCCATATGTTTTTGCTTCTTTATATACTTGGGTGTACACTTTTTGCTTATCATCAAAAGCAGGGTACCAAAAAAACTGCAACCACATTATTAAAACACTTCGACATTACAAATACACATATATGTAACTGTATGTATGTTTGTATAGGAATGCATTTGGTTGAAAACTAAAATAAAACACACACGGACTGGGAATATTTGATTGTTTGCTATAATAACACGTGATCATTATCATTAACTCTTTAAATGAATGAAAGAAACTAAGCGCATGCTGAACTTGCGAAACTGCATCTGGTGAGCTTTACCCGGAGAAAGAGAGAGAGAGAGGGAGAGAGAGTATTAGAGAGAGTAAAGTATTACCAGATGATAAAGTGGCCCTCTCTCTGAAAGTTTATTATCAGTGGAGATCTCAGTTTCTCAAATTTCATAAGCTTTTTAATTTTCAAATAAGCTAGGCCTGAAATAAGTTCAACGGGCAACACTGACTTGAAATGTGGGTGTGCGGGCATGTTTGTGTGGGGTCAGAACACTATTTCACCTGGCATACAATTAAATTTGCATTTCTTGCCTTTTTTGTTTAACCCACGATGCCCTGGCAGCCTCCACTCTGGTTTCCTTAACTTTTAGCTGATTAACATTTCTGCGCTGCTGTGCTCTTGGCCCTGTGGAAATGCAATTTTCCCTTCCAGCCAAAGTGAGAGCAGGGAGGGGGCCCAGGGCAAATGGCAACTTTTATGTAAATTTACACCCACTCACATTCACACATACACCATGGCACACCCAGGCGCATGGCATACACCCGGACACGAGGGCGTGTCGAAGTGTGTATGTGTTAAAAGCGCAATAAACATTAATTTCACATTCTTTTTCCTTGAGCCACTCCACTTCGGGTCCTTATACTTTGTTTAAGTTCTTCCCTCTTCAGTATATTTTTTTGCACTTGGTGAAATTATGATCAAAAGATTCTTCCGTTTCCGAAGAGAAAGAGAAAATGAAATGAAAACAAACGTTCAAGGAGAAAATATCAATATTATTATTTATAAACGTATAAAAATTAAAAAAGGAACATAACATAAATTTAATATTTAAAATAATGCATTGGCAATTTTCAATAATATAATTATTGTTCGCATCATAACAGCACCTAGCCATGCGCCCCTAGGTGTACCACTGCACCTGTACCGCCTCTTCTTTCTTATTTTACTAAAGCTATCGTGTTATCTATTAAGCTTAACTATTTTTATAAGCTCATGCCCATGAATTTAATTAGAAGCTAAGCTTTCCGATCGCAGTTCCGAATAAAATAATCGAGACATACTTTAATCAAAGCTATTTATGGGTATAATTATTTATTAGCTTAATTATGTTTGTCGTCTTCTCCAAAACATATATTTTAACAATAAATGCGATAGCGGGTTATATATTTCCAGTTAAATTTTGAATGATATTTGGGAACTTTTCATTTAAATCTAACGTGTATTATTAAACCCACCCTTTTAGAATGTAAACCTTAAACAAATCTCTCAACGATTCACATAAAACTCCTTGATAAATTATAGAATTTGTTAAGCCTGCATTTCCATTAAGTAGTTGGTAGATAAACATAAATAATTGCAATTTACTTTTGTTTGTATTCCCAAACTCAATTTACGTCCTCATCCAACACATTACTAATCAATTGAGTCAACAAATGAAGGAAAATGCTTGAATTTCTCATTGATTTTGCACTTATAATATCATCAATTGAGGTTTCTTTGATTGCCATCTGTTGTGATTTGTTGGTGAAATGATTTTGGGGCCTGCGGGGCTGACAAGTTTGCTGTCGAGAAATGTGGCAAGAACTTTAGTAAATTGTGTGCTTAAATTTCTTAACACCACCGTTAGGGCACAATCTAAAAGAGAATCTTGTTTCTTCAGCACACACGAACTCCAAGTCCTCGTGGACCAAATACACTATGTAATTAACGCAAAACTTTCAACTTGCATAGAGTCCCAGAAGGCTTAAAGTTAGGTGGATATGGAATAAGTAGCAGGATCTGTGCATTATAAGGATAACTTATTTAAATTTAGAAATGCATATGATAATATGTCTGCAATGTCACTGAAATTCATAGTTTATAAATAAAAATTACTATAATAATCAAGTCCCAGAGAGTTTAAGGAATAAGTAGCAGGATCTGTGCATTATATGGATAGTGTATTTAAATTAAGATATATATCTGCCTGCAATGCCAAAGAAATTTATAGTTTATCCCTGAAAATATGTATACAAATATTTGGATACAAATTATAAATTGCATGTACATATATTTCGGTTATGTAACTTTAGGGCAGACTTTAAAACGTTTTATTTCTCACTTACTATTTTATAATTAATTATTTAACAACAAAGTATCTTTTTTATTAATATAAATAAGAATATAATATTATAGTTATTCATAATACCGAGATAATTATTTTCTTTTGTTTTGTAAATGCATTATATTTTTGTTTTTTGATACTGATGGAATATTCCTATATGGTAGGAAATAACTATAACTATATTATAACTATAAATAACTATGTATGTATGTATATTGATTAAATATTTATCAATATTAGAATATTATATAAATCAAAGAAATTTTTTGTAAGCTTAAATAAAATAGTTTAAAATACTTATATATCAAAATACTAATATACAAATAATGATAATAATGTAAAATAGGGTTTCATTTCACAAATTTAATTCTTTTAAGGCATTCAATTTCAAAACACAACATTTTTCGCATATATTTAAGCAAATATTTAAAGCTTAATCAGTAAATCATCTCATTATAACTATGGGGGATTATTTTCCGCTACCTATATTTCTTCAATTAAAGTTAATTATACCTGGTAATGAGGTTCCTTCCACCTTTTAGTATTTATGAAAATGAGCTTATGAACCTGGCCAAGTTTCCGACACTTGACTGATGTTTATTGTTTCTTTAAGAAGAGTCTTAGCCCACCCTATTTTCCTGCCCTTCCCCCTCGAGGAGCAGCACAAGATATGCAAAGTGGCTGCACAAACATGCGCGTAATACGTTAATGATGGTCCCCGCCCCCCTTTGGCCAACCCGTAACATGCACACATTGTAGCCGCGATTTGCATTACGCGCATTACTCAGTTCCCTCGTTTTGACGGGGCTTTCACGACTTTCTTCCCCTTCTTTAGTTTTGGTATCTTGCGAGGAGAAAGTCTAAGCTCCACCCTCGCCCCTCCCCCTTGGTTACCACTCGCAAGCATCCTCCCCCTTCCCTTGGTCCATCATCACCACTCCAGTCAACAATCTGCGCCAAATTGTGCGCTCAACTGTGTGCAGCATAGCGTTCCCTCACCCACTCCCACTCCCCATTAACCCTTGCTAGCCCCAGCTAGAAGGAGGCTAAAAAACCAACCCCCAACCCCCCACTCCCCCTAGGATGGCCAGAGAGAGCTGGCAAAACAAAAGGCAGCCGCGCATTTTTCGCAACTGCACTTTACTTTGCACTTTTCGCTTTCTTTGCATAAATTCTCGCCATCCCGAGTTTACTGTACTGCAAAAATGGGCACGCATAAAGCGAGAAAGAAGAAAACAAAATTGGTGGAAAGGTTTCAAGCAACAAGACTAGAAGGTACCCTCTACAATAAATGTTATACATTTATTGTAATTTTAATTAATTTTAATTAACCAAAATAATGTAAGAAGAAATGCAGCAAAAATTGTGATAGCAATATTAACTGCATAGTAGGAACTTATTCCTGTTCGTTTTCAGAAATGTATTACAGGAATATATATGTGTATATTTTCAAATAAAATTTAACTACTATATTAGTAGTCTGAAATATAAATGTCAGGAAATAGCGATATAAAAATCGGAAAGGAACGTTCTTTTTTTAAATTTCAGGATTTTTATAAAAAGAACAAAACAACTTCATAATTACCGAAACTAAATCAACTTACGTGAAAATCAATCAAAAATTACATATATATATATATTTTTTTTTTAATTTTGCAATAAATTAATATCAATTTCATTATTTTTCGATCTTTCAAATTTACATTTGATACATTTACAATATTTTCGATATAATATTGATATGAGTGCAATATTTGTTTTATGTATGATATCAAAATTCCATGATTTCATCTCTCGGTAACAATTGTTTATTGTCCTTCTTGGGCTTATCCTCTTAAATATTTTTGACAAATTTAAGATTAGCCAGAAAATATTACCATCTGAATTTATTTTAATAAAGACTTTAGCCAGTCACAAGTAAAATACAAAACTATAAAACAACAAGTGTTTATTAATTGGTATAACAAATGAGGAAAATCAGATATTCATCATAAAATCAGAAAATTGAGATCTCAAAATCCCATTATTTATTTCAATCTGCATCTATAAGTAACTGATTTCAGTACACCCCCCAAAACATCCTTTTTAAGCGGTACAAAAACACAAACACCGATAGTGGAAGAAAAACTTGAGGAAAAGAACGCTGGAAAAAAAAAACGAACTGAAAAAAAGTAAAGCTGAATAAATATGGCATGCAGCTGCTGCAGAAGATTTTTCCCGCTGAATTTTAAACTAAACACAAAGGCATAATGGAAAAATGGGAAAATAGAAAGCGCCGGCCCTGAGAAAGGCGCAACATCAACGATTCCTCCGACCAAATGGAGCCGCTCACCCGATAGTACAGATATGCAAAATTCTAGCGATATACCGCGGCCAACTGAGTGGCACTGATGGGGCTGCACTTTTAGCAGGCACTGTGTCGTAAATGCTGATGGGGCTAGAAGGGAGCAAGTGTAAGGAAAAATGTCAAGAATTCTTAAAAACGATGGTATTTGAGATGATAGAAGATGTATAATCTAAAGAATAAACGATTTCCTATATAAATAAGCATTTTAATAGGCAATTATTCTTAATTTGTATTAAAACTAATTGATTTAAACCAAAAACTGTTGAATATTTCAATAGTTTATGCTTTAATTTTATGGTGTTATATTTTCACTTATATATAATCAATAGGATACACGAATTCCTATATATTTAACATTTTAAATAGGAAATTACTCTTAATTTCTTCTAACATTAATTAATTTTAAACCAAAACTGCTTAATACTTCAATACTTAATGGTATACTGATACATTATTATTTAAGTGTATTTATTTTCTCTTTGATTTATATGCAAATTAAATTACCATTTAAGAGCATGGTATTAAAAATCGGCTATTAGGATTGTCAGCACTTAAATCTCATTAATTTTAACACACAAATCATGACTATTTATGAGCTGAGTCCTTAATTGCATTAATTCAAAATAATATAGTTCTTCAATTAATTTGAATTTAATTTATAATTTATCCAAATAAGAATACATTGTTTTTACATTTATAAAATGTAATTGTATTTAATTTTAATATTTAGCTTATCAAAATTAAGAAAATACCCGGCAATGACTTTAATTTTCACCCACAAAATCTCTCTCCTCATTCCAGCTCCATAGAAACACTGCGAGCGGAAACGCCCGAGGAGTTCTATGCACCGAAACGGGCGGATGATGACGTCCAACTCAATGGGACACCAACCGATGTGAACGCAGCTGGCGCTGTCATGGCGGGAAAGGGAGCAACTGGAGCCGGAGGAGCTGGAGCTGGAGGTGACCACAAGCAACGGCAACTGAAGAAGCTGCGATTCAAGCGGGAGATGCATGCCCTGGCCCTGGAGGGCGGCGATGTGGCCCGGGGCTACTGCTCCTGCGACGAGCAGTGGACGAACTCCTCCTCGCCAACGTCCACAACGACATCGGCAACCATGTCGCCGACACTGCCAGCGACCGGAAGTAGCAACGGGCGCTACGCAACCGGAAACGAAGGCGGCAGCGGGATCGTAAAAATGGCGGCAACGCCGTCAGCGACGGTGGCGGGGAAGCGGGGCGGAAGGCTCAAGCAGCAGCACCATGTACGCTTCTCCGATGAGAAGAACTTCTCGGATTGAGGATAAAACCAACTACTAGACTGCACCTAATCTCTGTTTAGTCATAGGCTAATTCCCCCAACAGGAAAAAATGGGGAAATCAAAGAAATCATCAGAAAACCAAAAACAAGTTGCATTAAATTCCGTAGATAAACGTAAACGATAAGGAAACCTGTACATATAGCTCGAGAATGTTAGTTAAATATCCGTGTTTAGTTGCTTGATAGATCTGTTGTGAACTATATATACGCATATATATAAATATATATGGTTATAATCAAGCTAACGATACATACAATTCGTTAGTTAAGTGTAGCACAAATCCATTTTTCCACTCATCAACAAATTGAAGGCAAACAAACATTTGATGGAATTTGTTGGTAAACGATAATTCTGTTAGCGGCCGTGTAAATACTCTAGTCAAAATAAACATAAAATGTGGTAAAATTTACTTAAAGTAAATTTATGAAAAAGTAAAATAAAAATCACTAAAATAACAAAAAACGCTCAAAATAGATAAGGATCAACTAAGACAACAATGAAAGGCATAATTGAAAACAAATAAATAGTTTATCATTTAATTATTGCTCTAAGGATGAAGCATAAAAATGTGTGACGCTTCTTCTTTTATGTACAAAGCAAGATAAACAAACAGTAATTAATTTTCTGATCATTTTTAACCACAATTTCAATTTATTAATTAGCAACAAACCTGGAAATCTCTGCCTTGACGAAATGGGTCAATTTAATTCAATAAATCTGATTCTAATTTGTTTCTTTCTTTATTTAACAAATATAATATATTTAAAAAATATACTATAATATTTTTATCATCTTATTCTTATAAAACAAAAGACTTACCTCAAACTAACACAAACTGCCAATTTATCAACACATTTATTATACTTTTCTTTAATATTTATTCAACTCTGTTTAACTCTTAAAACTCTTCCATTTTATTTAAAAATCATTTCGATGAAAACGCATAGAAAGCGTCGCCAAGAAAGCACAGATAAAATATAAAATATTTGTACTTTTAAGAAGGAAATTTATAATCGTCTAGTTTACATTATAAAAGAATAAAAACAGAAAATCCGATTGCAGAAAACACATAAACTAAATTAAGTGATTAATAAGAAATAAAATTAAACTAAACGAAATATAAACAAACCATAAAAACTAAAAACAATAAAAACTAAATTAAAGAAATATTAAATGTGTTCTTTTTATAATAATGGAGAGAATCATTAAAACAAAGGGTAATTTTAAAATTTAAAAATTCAAAGGGATTTATTAAGTTTAATTCTGGTTTAGCAGAAAGATAAGATATATATTTATTTTTACTGTAGAATAGAGCACATGCGTTTTAAATTAATCAATAAGTATAGTACAAGATTTTTTTAATTTTCTTTCTTAACCAAATGTTCTAATATAAAAATAACTAGGTCAAAGTGGAAAACCTCCTGGAAACTCATAACGCACACCATAGGAAATTTATTCTAAAATCTTTTTACAAAAAAATTATAATTTATGAAGGTTTTTTCCTTGCCTTGCTAACAGCTAATAAAGACTTTAAGACCCCCAGTGAACCCGATCCAAACCCAAAGGATTTCTGGATTCATTTCATTTTAAATGCTTTTCGTTTATGTGAAGAATTTTTGTTCTGGCAATTTTAATGGCTCAAATTTTTATGGCAGCCAGCAACGGTTATTAAATCAAGTTTTATGTCTGGCCAGCAATATGGCTGCAAAAGACCTCACTGAAGGACGAAGGGAGAGAGAGGAGAAAACTTTACTAAGTTCAGCTGGAATATTCAAGGTTCTTTGGGAATTAATTTATATACATATATTGTGAAGCTCAGTTTCTGGCACATCAAATATGTAGAGAGCCAGCCTCTCCCCCTAAACCGCTGCACTATCTGGTCTTGAAGCTTTGTTGATGTTTGGCCAAAAACTATTCCAATTAACTTACTAAACAAAGCAAGGAACAGCGGAAAATAGAAAATGAAAGCTAAAAATATAAAATACCCGCTGGTCATTTTGTAACTCTTTTGTAGACCGACTTTTCCGACCATTTTCCACCCAGGCTTGGCTTGTTTGTTTTTTCGTTTGATGTGTGTGTTACTGGCAACATTATGCTGGCTGTCTTGCTTTCTCTTTCTCTATTTTTCTCTCTCTCTCTCTCTCTCTCTCTTGCTCTTTTTTCCCCCAAAAGCCAAAGTTTTAAGCGTAATTTTCATTATTTAAAATGTGTTACTAAACGGGTTTGTCAATGTGTGTGTGAGAACGTGCAGCATCTAAAAAGAAAAGCGAACTTAATTATTTTAAATTTAAAACATACTAGAAATTCGCGAATAACTTTGTTAAAAGTACATTTTTCACTGCGTTTTTTGTTTAATTTTTTTATTTTAGGAATATTTCTCTGTTAAAGTTTTTTAAACTTAGAAGAATTAATTCAAATTATAATATACTCCTTTTATATAAAAATGAAATTAAATACACTGATAAAAAGGTAAGGGTTTTGGTCATAACATCGTGACCATAACGAATGTAGTGTAATCCCATTTTGGGCTTATTTTAAATTTTTATTCTATTATATATTAAAGTTTTATTTTTCTGCGTTTAAATAAAACGTGCAGCATCTAAAAAGAAAAGCGAACTTAATTATTTTAAATTTAAAACATACTAGAAATTCGCGAATAACTTTGTTAAAAGTACATTTTTCACTGCGTTTTTTGTTTAATTTTTTTATTTTAGGAATATTTCTCTGTTAAAGTTTTTTAAACTTAGAAGAATTAATTCAAATTATAATATACTCCTTTTATATAAAAATGAAATTAAATACACTGATAAAAAGGTAAGGGTTTTGGTCATAACATCGTGACCATAACGAATGTAGTGTAATCCCATTTTGGGCTTATTTAAATTTTTATTCTATTATATATTAAAGTTTTATTTTTCTGCGTTTAAATAAAAGCCAAAAACTCTTAGTTCTAAAGTTGTTGTTCTTATGTTATCAAGATTTTATTTTAAGAATTCATCATCATCCTAGAACTAGAGTTTCATTATTATTTTATAGTTACTAAATTTTTATGTTGGTTAAAAACTGATAAGTACACTTGGAGTAAAACTCTTAGAGCCAGTTTATATTTTTTCTTACTGTTAAACTTCCTGTTATCTATCTGTCCTAAAAAGCTAAAAACTAAGTACACTTGTGACAAAGAAAATCAATTTTAATTTATAGTTTTCCATTATCCTAAAGACATTTTATATTTATAATCACTGTTAAAATTCCTGTTTTATTGAGTCGCAAATGAATTAACAATAAGTAGGATTTACTGTTGATTATATTATATAAACACATCAAAGTTAATACAATTTTCATTATGAGCAAAGTTGAACTCTACATTTGATAAAGTCAGTACACAAATGTATTTCTTCTTATTCAAACAAATATTTTAAAATATTTAGAAATTATATTTTAAGTCCTTAGCATCATCTCTTAATTACAAGTATCCTGAAGTATACCTTTTATCTAAACTAAACCTCTCTAAACCATTAGCCACGATTCTACCACCTGAGGAAAAATCTCCTCCTGCAGTTCACCCTGTATTTAGACCCCCCGGGGTCTACCTAAAATTCCCTCTCTTTCAACCACAACTTGCCGTAATGTCGGTTTGGAAGTGAATATACGTTTTTAATGTTTGCTTTTTATTACAAACTAAATGGGAAAAATGTGTTGGCCAAGAGAGTTTGGGATGCCAGGCGATGGTGGGGAGGGGGAGCTTGGGGTGTAATGAAGGGGTCAGGGGGGTCTTTGCTTGACACTTGCTACCTTTTTATTATAAATGTTTTATAGCTGAGAATTTTACAAATTACTTTTGTGCAACTTCAGTCAGTCACACACACACACTCGCGTGGTTATAAAAACTGATGACAGGTGTAGCAAATTAGGATTATTATTTTAAATACCAAAAACCAACACCAACTCCTTTCCGCAGTTATATTTTTTTAATGCTTATTAATGCATAAAGCAAACTGTTAAATTTTTATGACAAATTTCAACATGATTTTTATTAAAGTTTGGTTTGATTATTCATATAATTAAAAAGCTAAGCGAATGGTAATGTGAAAGTAGTAGAATTTTCATGATTTTTTTTAAAGTACTTTTCAAATAATACTAAAAGATTTATAGCCACTTTTAAAAAACTTAATCCATTATCTTGTTAAATTATATTATATAAATATTTAAATTGAGAGTTCAGATACACCAAAATACTTGGTTATATTTAAGTCTTGTATAAATTGAATTGTGTATATAAAATATATATATTAAAGTGTAAATTGTCTTAAGAGACTTATTTAAAACATGAACTAATGTTTATTTATTATTTTATATATTTTTTTAGCAAACAAGAAAGCTGAAACTACAGATTCAGCGGTCGTTTCGTTTGATTTCGGAATTGTTCAATAATTTTAAAAATTTTTTGAAAAAGAATTGGGCTTGGAATTGGATTTGGTTTGTTAGAACCAAATATTTAATAAATATGTCTAGTTTTTTTCAATGTTTATTATACATTTTAAAATAAACTTTTCCTTTTAATTTGTTAGTCTAAAATGATTTCTGT